AAAAAAAAAACCTAAAAGAATTAAATGGAAATGCCAATGGAAAAATGAAATAGGTGTAGTAAGATTAGGATAGGACTGTTAAAATGTATTTTTATTCTTTTAACTTGTATATATGTATTATTAGGTTAAAAAAACAAACAAATTTGATTAAAAGTACTTTACATAATAGCATTTTTATTCCACATATGTATCATTGTTTTAATTGTTAACAAAGAATTGTTTTAATTTTAACAAAGGTCAAATCAAAGTGTTTTGTTGTTCTTAATTTTAAAGTTGGGCCATTTCTATTTCCATGCTATATGGATGTAATCCATCATAGTCAAATTCATGACTAGATGAGACTAGAAATTCTCTAAAACCCATAGAATTTGAAAACTTGGTGGTCTAAGGATTCTTCATACTCTTAAAAACTGTATAGGTTTTAGTTGTTTGATATTTACTATATATAAAAAATAAAATTGAGACAAAAATATTTGCTTATTGATTCACTGTAAAATAATAATAAATCCACTGTATGTTATTAATAAAATATCTTTTATTTATAAAACAAGTTTTTTAAAAACAAAAGTATTTGTTTTCTAAAACAAAATACTTCAGTGAGAATAGCAGTGTTGTGAATATTTTTGCAATTCTCTTTACTTTCTGGTTTAATGAATATAGTTTATTTGTTATATCTGTATTCAGTTTGTTGCAATATGTTGTTTAAACTCTATGTAAAAAAAAAAGTGACCTCACATAGATGTGTTATTAGAAAAGGAAAGAGTATTTTAATAGCCTTTTCTGGTAATCTTATTTATTCTTCTTTGATACCACACCAAAATATAACATAGGAAACCACATATATGAACTTTTTATATTCCATTACAATAAAAAGCATTAGTCTATCTTGTACTTTAAAAGGACCTTTTTTGTTAACCATGCATGATTTTATGACATAATGCATTGGTCATGTGAAAAGCATTGGTTCACTAAACAGTTCGAATCTTCCAAATGCTGACCCATTTCAAAATACAACCAAACAGTAACAATCATTAACACCATCAGCCATCACATTAGAAAGTCTTTAGGTATTGGGAAACTGTGAGAAACTATCTAGCTCATGGTGATGAATACAAGATTATCAAACTTTAAATTTTTGTATGAGAATTCAAATTATTTTAATTGGCAACAAAAAAATGTCAGTTGCTTTTTAAAAAATGACTGGCTTGCCTTATTTATTTTTTTAAATGTCTGCCAAATAAATTAGGATAACGCTAGTTTGTTTAGTAGTTGTTCCTTCAAGCAAAAATGGCATTCATGAAAAAAGCAGCTAGTCTAGCTCGCAACTCACATACAAATGCTTTTCTCCAAGGCAGCCATCATACTTCAGAATGCATAAGTACTTTATGGTTATTTCTCATTTTGTCATATACAATGTTAAAATGACATGCCCTCAAAGGCTGAGATTTAACAGAAGTAGTAATCTTTACTGCTTCATAAAGATATTCCTCAGTGTAACTGGAATTTTTTTAAGCTGCAACTATATGGTGGTGAAGAAATATAATAACAACTAATATAGTTGTTGGGTACCACTGCCTTGATCTATGTTAAGATCTCAGCAGCTTTACCCACCATTGCTTTTGTGCTATAATTGAAAATGTCAACCCAGTGAAAAGGTAAGTAATGTTTTAGTATTACTATAAAAATACTTTTGTCTGTAAGTCACCCTGACAGGATCTCAAAGGCCCATGGGCTATCTGGACTGTGACTTGAGAACTACTAATGTAGGTACTGAGTGACATAAATGATTACAAAAAAGAGTCCTCACTTTTCTGCCTGACTGAGGGAACAATTGCACTACGTGTTGAAAGCTGCATAGATTGTACATATGCAACAATAGTAATGATACTTGATCATAGCTCAGAATACCTGAGTTCCAGGGCTATCATTTATAAATCATAGGACTTACAACTTTTCAACTATATTTCTTTGATGTCATTTCCCCATGCTTATAGTGAAGACGATACAACCTACCTCCTTAGGGTTGTTGGATAGACAAGAGCTACTCCAAGTGTAATTCCTGAACCCTCAGCATCAGCACTCCCCAAGAACTTGGTAGAAATGAAAATTCTGGGGACCTAACCCACATGTGTTGACTAAGAATCTCTGAGATTGGGGCTTACCAATCTCTGTTTAATTAGGCTTTCAAGGTGAATCTTACTCATATTGAAGGTTGAGAAGTACTAATATAAATAGACCTTGCATGATAATTAGAAATTGTGAACACAAAATAAATTTATACTATACTAAAAAGAATAAAAGAAAGGTCTTCAGGCAAAATAATTACATATAGTTACCTGTGTATTTGGCTTTATGGTTTCCCCTTCCCCCCTTACCACATTAATACTTGGATCATCCACAGTGGGGTAGCACTGGTCCTACTATTGGTATTAAAGATATATGTGTTCTCTTTTACAATGCTAGTGGGATTACAAACTAATACAATTTCAATGGAAAGAAGTATAGAGAATTCTTAAAGGACTAAAAATTGACCTTCCATTTGATCTTCAATCTCCTTACTAGATATGTGCCCAGAAAAAAAAAAATCATATTACCATAAGGACATTTGCACTACAATGCTTACTTCAGGCCAATTCACAATTGTCAAAACATGGGAGCAACCCAAGTGCCCATCAACCCACGAACAGATTAACAAATTCTGGTATATGTATACCATTGACTAACATTCAGCCTTAATAAAAGATGGAGGTGCTTACTTCAGCACCACATATACTAAAATTAAAACAATACAGAGAAGATTAGAATGGCCCTTGCACACGGAAGACATGCAAATTCATGAAGCATTCTGTATTTTTTTTCTGTTAGTCTTATACAAAAAGATCATTTCAACACCTAAGCTCAGAGACAAAGTAACTTAAAGTGAAGGAGGTAGTGAGAGGAAAAAATAGGGAAGGAAGTGAACAAGAAGAAAACACACAAAAGGAGGAACAACCAGAAAGAGTCTGGCAACATGAAAAACCAAAGCAGCACAACTCCACCCCACTAAGAGATCATGAGGTGGCTACTGCAGAGGATTCCACTTTTAAAGAATTAATGGAAATGACAGAAAGGGAACTTAAACTATAGATGTCAAGAACAATAAAGAGAATTGAGAAAGTGGAAAAATAGAACCCAATAATGGATAAAAGATATGAAGAATATAGAAAGGATATGGTGGAGTCTAAAGAATTGAAGGAGTCAAACAGGAAATTTAAAGATGTAATAGAAAGTAAGTTATATAATAAGCTATACATGATTATCTTTAGGAAAGTGATTTGAACTATGGTGGAGTAAAGTGAACAAGAAGAAAACACACGAGGAGGAACAACCAGAAAAAGTCTGGCAACATGAAAAACCAAAGCAGCGCAAACCCAGGTGGCTACTGCAGAAGATCCTACTTTTAAAGAATTAATGGAAATGACAGAAAGGTCAATAACAGATTAGACCATGGAGAAGAAAAAACCTCAGAGCTAGAAGATAAAGCTCTTGAGATAACCTAGGCAATTAAAGAGGCAGAAAAGAAGAGAGAAAGCAGAATGTTTGTTTGCTCAGAGAATTATGAGACTTCAATCATTCAAAAATATAAATTATAGGAATCCCTGAAGGAGAATAGGAACACCCCCAAAGGAATGAAAGCCCTACTAGAAGATATCATAATTGAAAATTTCCCAAGCATCATCAAAGATTCCTAAACATTCATTTTAGAGGGATATCAAACCCTGGGTCATCTCAACACAAACAGAGATCTCCAAGACACATTGTAATGAAACTGACCAATGTAGAGATGAAAGAGAAAAATCTGCAAGAAGCCAGGAGCAAGCACCAATTGACTTACAGGGTACATCCATCAGGGTGACAGCAGATTTTTCAACTAAAACTTTCCAACCCAAAAAAGAATGGTCATCTAACTTTCACTTTTTAAACAAAACAATTTTCAGCCCAGAATTCTGTACCCTGCCAAACTAAGCTTCAAAATCAACAGAGCAATGAAATCTTTTACTGAAGTGCATACACTAAGGAAATTCACCAGCTGGAATAAGACCAGCTCTACAGGAAATATTTAGACCTAGTCTCCACACTGAATATCACAATGGACCACCAGCAAAGTAAACACCCAGAAACTAAAAAACAACATCTAGTTTCCACAATGGCATGAAGGATAAAACTAAGCAATGGACTTTCACCAAATTAGATGAATAGAACTCCACCACACTTATCTATTCACTCAGTAAATGTAAATGGCTTGAATTCCCCACTCAAGAGGCACAGGATGGCTGATTGAATAAAAAAGCACAAGCCATCTATATGATGGAAGTTTTAGCTAATGCAATCAGGAAAGAGAATGATATAAAGGACATCCACATGGGGGCAGAGGAGGTCAAACTCTTGCTCTTAGCCACTGATAGGATCGTATACTTAGAGTACCCCAGAGACTCAACCAAAGACTCCTGAAAGTGATCAAAAAATATAGCAACATCTCAGGGTATCAAATCAATGTCCACAAATCTGTAGCCTTTGTATGCACCAATAACAGCCAAGTTGAGAAGCTAATCAGAGACACAATTCTCTTCACAGTAGCTTCAAAGAAAATAAAATAGCTAGGAATATTCCTAGCAAGAAAGGTGAAGAACCTCTACAAAAAGAATTCTGAAACCTTAAGAAAAAAAAAAAATACCTGGGACCTCCTCAAATTAAAAAGCTTCTGCACAGCCAAGAACACAGTAAGAAAAGTAAGTAGACATCCCTCAGAATGGGAAAAGATATTTGCTGGTT